TTGTTGTTTATCAATAATTTTATCTACTTCAAAACTGTTTGAACATTCCTAAGAAAACAAATAGTTTTTCAACTAACAATATCGATTATTCAGTCCTATTCTATTCACAATCAATAAATATTGTTTACCATTGTTTTTTTAATACTTTATATGTTGATTCATTTTTTTGATATTTATTTTGTCCTGAATATCATAAATTATTTTTAATATTGTATAAATAGTAATTCTATTTAAATGAATGTTTAAATATATTATGGTTTTATTTTTACCATTAAATGTGATGTAATGTAGAATTGTATTTGGTCAGAATAAAAAAATCATGGGATCGTTATGTTTTTCTAGCATAGAATATCCTTTCACAGAAAAAAAACATGTATAAATCCATGCATATACATGTAACTGTTATGCGAGAAGACATTTCTATCATTCACACGCTACGTCTTTCCTCCAACAAGATTTTCAGAAGCCTCCCTCAGAGTTAATAAAACTCAAAAAGAAAAAAAAAAGAAGAAACACTGCGTATATGTTGAACCTAAATATATATCCGGGCGATCCCCTTGGCGTGCAAAAGAGATACTGCGGCTGGAGCCATTTTACAGTGGCTACAAGATCTTTTACCATCTCTAAAGAAGTCTTATTTCTACTATTAAAAAATCATTAAAAACATATGTGATCTTAAAAATCACTATTTTAAAAAATTTCAATTTCTTGAGATTTTTAAACATTTTATTTTATTTGACGTTTATATATATATATAATATAAACTTCTCCATTGCAGTGATAGAAAAAATTCGCATGATTCTGACGGATATGTCAAATAAAGTGGTGGAAAAGTTCAGCGTTATAAATATCTTTGAGTTGAGTAACTTTTATAAGTTAAAAGTCAGTTGTTTCTTATTCTTATGTTAAAGGTATATTTTATAACGATCACAAGAAATACATGGAGATATCAAAGTGAGAAGTTTAAGTGAATTACTGATAAAGTTTGTTACGCCTGCATATATGCCTGTTATTGTGCACACGCGTTTTCTTATGTTTAATTCATTCTTAACATTACTCATTCATACACTCGTTCGGTCATGCACGAAGCACTTAGGTGTAGAATATTCGTGCTTTCCTAAACTCAAAATTTGAAAGTTTTGTCGTTTCATGAAATTATTTTAGATTCAATATTGTAGATATGAAAAAATTATTAGAACTTTAGTAGAAAAAGTATTTGTAATGATTATTAAAACGTGAATAAACATTAATATCTTAATGTAAATTTACTTTTTATTCCGTGAGTCATATCATTTATTTCAAAATGGCAAAAAATTTACGTATATTTAGGAACATTTATTATTTATAAATGGATATTAATTGAGCCATTATTTATGTTTAACGATCAAATGAAAGTCTGGGAACAATACAATGATAAATATTTTATTACTCATTTAAATTAAAAATTTTTACCAGTTAAAATTTTATATTAAATTAAAAAAAAAAACGTTTATAAATATTTGAGTTTATTTATGGCGCAAATATTATATATTAATTGCTACTAATTTAATCCACGAAAACATAAACAATAATCAATTCAAACGGGAGAAAAATTAATTTTAAATTCCAATTGAAATCTAACCAAAGCTTTAATAATTCTTTTATTGAGGATTATACTGTTTCATCAAATTTTTTGATGAAAAAAAATATAGTTTGCGAAACAATCAATCATTAAGTGATTATTGACCCATCAATCAACTCTAGCTATTCAATAAGAAACTAAAAGCAATATAATTATTGCCTTAAATTCAAAGTTATTACAAATAAAAGTCTAATAATTCTATGTCATGATAATAAAGTCTATATTTGTCTATTATGTAACAAAGTATAAAGTAGTTTTACTATTTAAGTGGACACATAAATTATTGTTAGTTAGTCATTCCTGACGTAATATAATGTGTTAAGAGTAAATCGTTATAAGAATGTATTATACAAATATTTTATATATATATAACATGAAATTTTAATCTATGTAATCCTAGAAAATATTCGATACGGAAATTTCACAAATGCAGGTAATAAGTGGTAGCTACTGATCTGTTTCAATTGCAATTTTTTTTTTGATTCTGTTTAGTAGCAAGTATTAACAATATAAAGTGCATGAGGTGATAGGTAGTGCGTCACACTGGCGCCACAGAAGCATTTATGTAGTTTTGCAGCCGAGAAACATTCTACATCATCCTTTCTTCCTTCATTTTTTTTCTCTATTTAATTCTCAGACAGACGAGTTTATGAGACTGCGATGAAATGCTTCGCTTTTTATTCTACCAAGATTTTACAGTATATTCACTGCACTCTACTTTGGATATGTTATACTGAATAAAGTAATTCAGTACGATGTTACGGGAAAAAGACTCTTTTATAGTTAATGAATTGATTTAGCTGTCATAGCGTAACATATATTTCCACTATTTTTTACTTTCCACTATTAATTAATTATTTTTTCATGTGAAAAAAAGAATTCTGTATATATATTATCTAGTAGTTTTATCATGAGGAAATCTTTTGAATAATTAATGTTTCGGAAAGAATTAATTTTGAACCTTCATTCACATTCAACAAACATTAAATATTCATCTTTGAAATTTTTTAATTTATCTAATTTGAATGATTTATCCATCTTTATTGTCCAATAAAGAAATTTGAAAATATTAAATCATTTTTTGAATAATTTCACTTGGTTGAATCAACTAAGACTACTTCTAGAACATTTAACTGAAATAGACAAAAATGAAAAGTATCTGAAGTAACAATTCAAACTCAAATTCACAACACCATTAGTGAATAATAATTAATAATTCTTATCTCAATTTAGTTATGCCATAGCTGAATATAATATGAGTATTAATATTCTGGGATATCATCGGAAGTCGAATGAATTATTGAGAATTTGACGTTCATAGTGACAGTCCGATAATAGTTAAAAGTAAAGATAGATATCTTGGGTGGATAAATTTACTTCAACCAAGGTCTCGGACAATCTGATGACTGTTTGACTGTTTTGGATTATAAGGTTATATATATATTTATTATTTATATCTCCAGTGAGTTGAACTTATCATTGAAGACAATTTCTCAAAGGTATACACAGTGGCTATAGAGCTCCAAAAGCCTATAGATATCTGAGAATGCAATTTCTGGTGGACCAAGGTGCATAGAACTTCCGCCTCCCAATGGAGCCGTGCAGAATGGAATTTGGTGTTCATAGATCTAGTGAATAACTCGAATATTCCCCACAGGTCATTATGGAAAAGACAGTCTCGAACTACTATATCAAATACCTATTAGGTACATCTCTCAAGCAAAATGAGCTGCTATAGATAAATATTACTGCATAGATATTTCGGAGAATTAAAAAGGCGGACTGATGACCGGTTGCGTTTTAAGGTTGTCGTGATTTAGTGAGTGAAAAGGCATCTAGGTCATTGTACGAAGCATTTTAAGCTGATTTTAAGATAAAAGAAGTAGTGCTGAATAATCGAGATAATAAAGTTACCCTCAACAGAGGACGAAGACTTGGGTTTTCGTAATTTTGGATAAGTGAATGTTTAAAGAAGTTATGAAGGACAAGGAAAGTAACAGGAAAAGAGACCCTGGGAGCCCAAAAAAAAACGGGCACCTCGGAAAAAAACCAAGAGGGCGATCTTATGCAGTTTATTGAAGTTAGCACAGGAGGGCGTTTAAAAGTAGTACACTCTCCGGTCGGTAACAAGAGCGGTAGCCGCGAAGTTGACAAGGAGAAGGGAGAACGTTATGACGGAGAAGACGACGATAAGGAAAGTGAAGACGCAAATAGCCTGCTCTCAAATGATGATCGCATCAACATGATAGATCTACAGAAAGAAAATCAAGAGCTAAAGGAAATGATTCTAGCGTTGCAAGAAGAAATGAGCAAATAAAAAATCGATCTAGAAAACGGTACGAAAGAAAGAATCAAAGAAAAAAAGCCTGGGAAAATGAGAAAAAGAACACCAGCAAAAGAATAGATGAGTTGGAGGGGTAGGTGAAACGATTAGCTAATAAGATTGATAAGCAACGAGTGGAGTGGCAGCAGTCGACAAGGCACTCGCAGGCCCAAAGAACAAATGGCATTGAAAGCTCGCAGCGCAGCAGTCAGCAACAAAAAGTTGTAGAAAGCAGATCGAAGGATCAGCATTTTGAAGGTAATTATGAAAATGCTACCAACACCAACAGGTGGTCAATAGTGTCCAATGGTAGTAGAAGAAGTAACTTAGGCGAGTCATCTGCCAATGCGTATGTACCACAGAAAAGCACACAAGAAATATCTCAATTTCTTCAAGAAGGAAGGCGTAACAATGATGATAAGCCAAGGGAGATATCCTTTGACCATCTGAAATATGAGTTAAAGGAAAGACGGGCAAGAAGGAAGAACATAGTAATTAGGTTTAGTGACAAGAGCAAAGTGTTGAAAGAAGAGAAGATGTTGAATATGTTAGATGAAGTTTTTGTGATAGAAGAGAGGCATCGAGTAAAATGTTCAAGAGACAACATGTTGTGTATAGAATTTGAGGATCTTGGAGCTAAGCTAAGAGTCATTAGTAGAAGAAGAGAGCTTAAAGGACTGCAGATATGGATTGAAGATGACCACACGAAAAGAGAGATAGAGATCCAGAAATGGTTACGAGCAGCGGCAGAAAGAGAAAGACAAAATGAAGCTAATGTAAAAGTTGGATACATGAAGATCATCATCAACGGTGTCGTTTGGAGGTTCAACGAAAGAAGTCCTTTTCCATATTGGAAGAGTGAATAGTGCAAACAATTTGGACCTGAGGAGTATTTTGTTGTGGAACACGCGTGGTAATAAGTGTTTTAGAAACATTAAGGAATTTGTGGGAGGCTTCGATGTAATTATTTTGCAGGAAACATGGTTAGAAAGTAAAAATGTAAATAGAGCGGTTAGTTATCTAAGTGATGATTTTATTTACTAGTCAAAAAGTGCAATGAAAAAAAACAATTTATGCAATAAAGGCAGGGCTTCAGGGGGTCAAATTGTCGGTATTAAAAAGAATATTAGTGATGGTTGGACAGTGGAAGATTGGAAATTTGGCTTAATCTTGAAGTCAAAATCCAGTACATACATAATCACCGTCTATAACAGTGTCAGGTTCAATCATGTAGAACAAAGTTTGAGAAGCGTTATAGAGCAAGGTATGAGTGAGTGTGAGACTGTACTGGTTTGTGGAGATATAAATGCAAGAGTGGGGGGAGCCCGAGTCTGGGTGGATCTCTGCGAAGAAGATCAAATTCTCAGATCGTCTCAAGATCAAACTATTAATGAAGATGGCAAAAAATTGATTCGTTTGTGTGAAGAGTTGGGCTTGACGCTGCTGAATGGTAGAACGAAAGGTGATGAGCAGGGGTGTATCACATATATAGGGAGGAATGAATGTTACAATGGTTCTGTGATCGACCTCTTCTTAATAGCAGATAGAAGTAACCTTAAAGTGATTGAATCCTTAAAAGTCATGAGTAGATTAGAGTCTGACCACTTCCCAGTTGTCCTCACCATCAAATCAAGTTGGAATGGGACAGACATCGTGGAATACAATAGTTTAGACGCGGAGTATGCGATAGAAAAAATTAAGTGGCAGCAAGATAAAGCAAATGGATTTTGTGAAATAATGACGAAAAAATTGAAAGAAGGGGTCTTTGCATCTGCTGAGACAGAAGCTAGGTGGAAGAATATCGTAGACGTGATTTGGGAGGCAACACGTGGTTGTGGTATGGCAAAAGAACTGGTACGGGAGAGAAAAGTGGTAACAACCACAATTCGCTTTCTTTTGCATTTACTCAGAAATGTGTCAAAGCTAGAAAGATAGTATGGAAGTGTCTGAATGAATGGATTAAGAATAGATGTTCCAAAAATAAGCATAAGCTAATTGTTGGAAGGAAGAAACTTAAAGCACTAGTCAAGTCAGCTTATCAATCATGGTAGAATAAAAGAGTAGAAGAGGTTAACAAGGCAAAAGGTGTATCTAAGTGGTGGGCAGCTATTAATAAATTTCGAGTTTCAAGAAAACAGGCTGTTTCGTTTGGGATATCGGAAGTCCAATGGGTTGAGTATTTTAAATCGTTGCTTGGTCACCAAGGGGGAGCTGTGACACTTGAAAATCGAACTGAAGAACCGTGGTTACACGAAGCTGTCAATGTAGAGTCACAAACACAAGATGACGATACGCTAGGTGGTCTTTTTACAGCTGAGGAAGTCAAAGACGCATTAGGTAGAATGTCCAATGGCAAAGCAGTGGGAGAGGATAGTATCCCGGTCGAATGTGTAAAGATAGTTCGTTTTGATGCTGAAGAGATTTTGTGTGGCGTCATGAATGAGATCTGGATGAATTGTCGGTCACCAAAGGGGTGGTGTAAAGCAAGGATTGTTCCCATTTACAAAAGCGGAGACGAGAAGGTGGTGAGCAATTATCGGGGCATATCGCTGCTCGATGTAGGATACAAGCTTATAACAAACATGATGGCAGAAAAATTGATGGTCTGGGCTGAGAAAGAGGAGATTCTTAAAGAGAGTCAGGCAGGTTTTAGGAGAAGAAGAGATACCAGAGACCACATTTTTGTTCTTAACGCATTAAAGAGACAATAGATTAAAACATAAGAGAGGGAAATTATTTGTTGCTTTCATTGATTTTAAGGCAGCTTTTGATACCATACACAGGGAATTACTTCTTAGGAAAATCTGAGAAAGAGGAGTGAGAGGAAGAATGCATGCTTTGATTAGAATGATCTACAAGTACACGTGTGCAGAGGTCCAGTTAAAGTCCAAGGTCACCAGGGAGTTTGAGACGGGGATTGGTGTGAGACAGGGGTGTGCCTTGAGTTCTCTGTTTTGATATGTTTATCAATGATATTGATGATGAGTGGGTTAGGAAGGATGAAGGTGGTTCTGTCATCGGTAAAGCGAAAATTAGAGTTCTGAAGTATACGGATGATATTGCGGTGATTGCTGAGAGAGAGGAGAAATTAAGGGCTATGCTAAGAACGCTGGAAAAGTATGTAGAAAAAAATTTACTATGTGTGAACACCAACAAGACCAAGATCATGATCTTTTCTAATGGAGGTAAGCGGTCTGAAGGTGGAAAGTGGTCATTCAAGGGTGGGGAGTTAGAAGTCGTCAACAGATTAAAATACCTAGGTTTTTACTTCACCAGTAAAAACAGTATGAGCTTACAAATAAACACAATGGCAGGCAAAGCGCAGAAAGCTGCAAACACCACCTGGGGAATTTGTAAAAGATCGATTTGTAGTTAGATCGGTCGCATTGTACGGTGTCGAGGTGTGGGGATGGAGCAAGCTGTGCAGCATGACAAGAGTTCAATCTAGATACTGTAAGTTAGCACTAGGCTTAGCTAAAAATACACCAAGATACATTTGGAGGAGGAAGCTGGGAGTGGTGCCTATCGAATATACAATAAAAGAGCGTGCTATGAGGTATTTTAAGGATGTGCTTAGCATGGACAATAAAAGATGGCCAAAGATATGCCTGATTGAAGAGATGAGATCGATCATGAATCATAGAGAGTCAAAATGGGGTGCATGTGTGCATGAATGTCTAAACGAACTTGGTAGAGCGGAGTTATGTGAACTGATGTGGAAGAATGCTGAAAAAGAGGGAATTGATGTTGACGTTTATGATAGTTTTAAAGATGGTTTGAATGGTTGGTTACAACAAGAGGAAGAAAGAGAATGGAACGAGATTGTAGCATCGTCCTACAATTTACACTACAAGTACCTTGTACCGATAGAGAAGGAAAACAAACAAGAAAAGGAAGCAACGATGTTTTGCACAATGCAAAGAGTATCCCGACCAATTTTTGGGTGGATCTAAATCGTTGTTCCGAAGTTATAATATTTTTCATCGAACAACAATGCATTTTCGTCGATTTGGTAACATTCAAAAATTCTAATGACTGACTTCCGGTCAACCTGGAGTAATAAAAATCGGCAGATATGTTCTGCACACTGCAAAGAATATCCCTGCCAATTTTTGAGTGGATCTAAATCGATGTTCCCAAGTTATGATTTTTTTTTTTGCAAAACAACTCTTTTTTCTTTGGATTTACTGTTTTCTCTCAAATTCTAAGGGTTGGATACCGTATTAGGCTCACATTGGGAATGGAAACTCCTGTTCCTATTGGGACCAAGTAAGGAAAGTATCATTAAGGCAAGTTAAATATAAAAACTAAGTTGTTTAATTATAAAATTTTTTATGATTATTGTTGAAATATTTAATTAGCAAACATATTTAAATTAAATTTCTGCAAAAAATATATTATGCTGAAATGTGTTCCTTGGGGGATTCAAACCTACAATCGCTACCATGCACAAATCTTAGATCAGTACCTTTACCCACTCGACTTTTCATTCAATTAAAACAATTATTACTACTCTACTAATATGAACAGATCAATATGTATCATTTTTTAAAAGATTGATATTAATCATTATTTACTGTTATACATTTATATATAATATATATTTATTTATATATTTATAATTTCCTATTATATAATTTGCTTCATTTGAATTTAGTTTAAGTAATTCTAAAGTGGTTCTAATAAGTAATTCCTAATCAATGCTTAACTTTGACATGAAGTTCGGAGAATTAATAAGGTTATCATTAGGAAGTTATGAGGCAAAGTGAAATTGAGCAAATTTTAGGCTGTCTCTATCACACCTAAATAACAAATTAATTAGGCGTAAGTTGGGAATGCCTAATTTAGGCTAATCAAATAAAAGTGTTATTTTAAAACGAGTTGTATATTTTTTGTAGATTAATATACTGGTTTCATTTCGGAATAATGAATCTCATTATTCAGCTTAAAAAAGCTATCAATTATTTCTTCAAAAACTTACATAATGTTAAAATTCAACTATCATTTCAGTTAATCATAATTAAATAACATAGATGCCAATTGTTCGTAAAATATAAATAACCTGTTAATTGTTATGAAATGTTCATTCCATCAAATTTTATGTGTCTTTCTCATATCATTTTCACGTAATAACCCATCATCTAGAAATGTCTTCTCTTCACATTTTCATTTATTCAACACCAATCACTGTATTGTATCATAATGTCAAACGTTTTTATCTCGTTTGAAAACTTTCACTTCTATATCGAGTATATAAGGGCATCAATAACAGTTTAAAATTAAATTGAATGTGTATAATATGAATATCATCCAATACATTGGAAAAATCAATAAAATTTTATTGAATGAAAACCATTTGTTAATATTAAATAATTATCATCGTTTAAAAGTTTTCAATATCAGTTCATTTCAACTACATTTTTAAACAAGGGAAAAAATATAAATGGTTAAGTGATTGAATTCTTTAATTTTGTATAGCTTTTGGAGTCAACATCTTGAAAATGCTGATAGTAGTGATAGGATACACCTGGACATTTTGGTACAAAGCCAAGAAAAGACTTTTCATTAGGTGCAATGTTCCATGAGAAACAACTTGGCAACAGTCATCATGTCATTTTCTATTATTGTTCAACCTCATTTTTTTGGCTTACTTTATTTTCCAAATATTCATTTTATGCATGCAGTGTCAACATATTTGTTTGACACAACATTTATTTCATGTTTAATCTGTAAAGTATTAGTGAATATGCTGCTGACTTTGTTACTAACATCGAATAACTAACTAAACGAATACAGACGATTCGTAAGTTATGAATTACCCATTGACGTACGTAGATGAAGAATGAATAAGGGTGAATAAGGCAAGTAAGACGATCGAGTGTGTTCAATGTCATAACCATATGTTATGCTGGAAGGTTTTTGATTTATGATTTTTGAATATTCCTAAATCCTTATATATTATTTTTCATTTTTGCTGGTGTTGTAGCAGTGATTGAACATTTTTTTCAATTCATCTTATTGTGAAATGCCCATTTATTTTAATGAAGTATTATCTAACTTATATTAATCACTGTCCATCACCATCGATTTGTGGGGACAAAAATAGTCTTCTATTTTTAATAGGTGGTGATTTGAAACAAATTATTATTATGATTTATTAAATGAGATTTCATCATTATATCCAATATCTTTGAAATATTTTTCTTTCTTTCATTGAATTAATATTTCAAAGCCCGATGTAGTCAACTCCGTTGTAAGCAACATTTCATTGTAGTCAACTAAATGCTTTTATTACAGTCAACTTCCCCATCTCCCACCAAAAACATTTTTAACTAATGAGAATTCATAAATACGGCGCTGAATTTAAATTTCTTTTCTTTCTATATGTCGGAGGTTATACATTACATATACTATCTATCTATATTTGACTCTTTGCGCATGTTAATGCGCAGAGAAGAACATCTAATAGACAGAGATAGATATATTTGTAATGAGAGTGGGGTTAAAAAGCATTGGAGGAGAATGGTGGCTACATTGAAAGTGACAAGATTTTTTGGGTTGACTACATCGAGCGTTGACTGTATCGGTGCTCTGCAGTGGTCTGGGTGCGACCCGAAAGATCCACACGACCAACTTCCCAGTGGAAAAAATGAAAAAACAATTCGAATAGAATCCGTTTCCATTTTTTATAACAAATGGAATTGTTATAAACGAAATGAGTCTGTTTTTATTCATTTGATAGGGTTAGTTACTTTATTTCAGTAAAAGAAAAAATTATGCGTTAGAAGAATTCGAATATACCACATAGATCTTTTTTTTCATTATTTACAATAAATTTCATTGTTATACACGAAAAAGTATGTTTTCATTTATGTCATACGGTTGGTAATATTTTTTTAGTAAAAGAAAAAATTATGGAAAACGATCGTATTCGACTCTGGGGACCTTAAAACGTGGAGATATGTCAAAATTCGGGATTCGCAAAATCGGACCCATACTATAACTTCCCACTGGGAAGTTAATTAATCTGTATAAAATTTAATTTTCCCATATGACTGGCTTTTTCAATTCGTTTTAATTGTTTCAAAAAGAAATTAACATCCCATGTGTCACAATAATTTATTTTTTTGCGAAACATAATGAATGACCCATGCAAATTACGTCTGTGGATACTAATCGTGAAATTACATGGAATTTAAACTAGTCAATAAGAGGTAAAAATCAATAGGACCTGTCCTACTTCTTCGAATCTAGAGGTTGGTTAACCTCTCAACGCAATTAGTGTTTAATTGGTACACTGTTTCGCACCTAATCATTACAATTGGTTCAGCTAATGTTGATAAGTACATAAGTTCATACATATACAATGCTGGCCATACAATAAATTCGATTAAACTAAAAGTCAATAAAGTAGTTGATTTTCCCAACGGAAACCTGCACACTTGAACAACTTTTATTTAATATTATTTTTAATCAGACATTTCTTTCAACTGGCTTTAAAACTCTAGTCCTATTAAAGTAACTACGTATCCCTTATAGAATATATACTTACTTAGCTTCACAATTGGAGCGTAACTAAAGTAAATAACTCTTTTCTTTTTCTCAAACATCAATCTCTTGTTTTTATTAGATCGTATATAATATCACATTTATTTCTGTGATAATTCTGCAATAATTAAAATCATCCTGCATCAACAATTATCCATAGTAT